GGGGCCCGCGCGCCCCCGTGTGCAGTCACCACACCGCTGCTCAAGGTACCCGGAAACTTTTACCATCTCTATCTCCAGTGGATCACCATCAATGACGTCCCCGTCCCCATCAACTCCTCCGCGTTCAACGTGACAAACAACGATGGGTTGAGGGGTATGATCATCGACTCGGGAACAACGCTCACGTATCTCGAGAGGAGCACGTTCGACGCTGTTGGCCGGGAAATCACCCGCCAAATCAGACTTCCACGGACCAGCAAAGGGGGCCTGCCCTTGTGCTACAAACTCCTGAAAGGCCACGCGAGGGTAATACATTTTCCGAAGATCGTGCTGGGATTCGAGGGGGCAGCCCTGGAGTTGCCGTCGCAAAACTACTTCTTTACTGACGAGGATGAGGGGATCGTGTGCTTGGTGATGGATGCTACTGATCGGACCCATTCCACTCTCGGCAATTTTCAGCAGCAGAACACATTGGTGGTTTACGATCTTGCTAACAAGAAACTATCTTTTGTGCCCAATACAAAATGTGACAACAATATTTGACCATGCATGCTAATTAACAAATAAAGCAGCCAGCCACAACAATAATGATAATAAATAATAAGGCTGAAATTTATTTACTCCAAGGATAATAATATATGATCATGATGATAACTATTTAAACAATACATATCAAATTTCGCCACTCGATCGATATCGTTTCTGAGAAATTTCACATGTATCATGTTCGTATGATATATTTTAAATTCCTGATTTTCGATTATATTAAGTACTATATATTATTAATTAATTCACTTGTTTTTTAGTTAAAAATTATATATACCTTATGATAATTTTGATTCATACCAATATTCCATATGGATCGGCCAGCCATAGAAGAATCTGATCAAATTAGAATTAACATAAAGTGAAAGAAATAAAATTAAATTATAGTCGTCGGGTATATCAACCATCCTAGTTGTTTGTTATGTTTTTGTGCTATTTTATTGTGTTTTATGTGCTTGAGTCGAGTCATTTTTAGGTTAGTTTGAGTGTCAACCGGTCCATTTTATCGTATTTTATGTGTTTTTGCTTTCGTTATGTGTTTTGGTATTTTTTCCATGTTTTCGCGTCTCTTTGGTGTGTTGTGTAGGTCCATATCACGATTCCTGGAAGACGAGTCATTTGTGCCATTTTCGAGACATGTTCGAACCTTATCTGAGTCATCCAGACCACTTCCGAGTCATTTCGAGCCATTTCCGAGACAAAAATCGCGCCCAAAGGCAGCCCAAAACTCGTTGCGAAATTGAGTTCGCGAGCTGCCAAACACAAGTTTACATAAGTGAAAGGTCACA